AACTATAACAACCTAATTATTAGTAATAGTTATACTTAACTATAACGAATTCACTTAGAGTAAAAGTAACGCTAAATTACATGTAGTAATATTAACGTTTAGTACATTTCTTTTTTTACAGCATTCAACTACTAGTATTTTTCTTAGAAATTTAGACATCATGTTTCTTTCTACGTATCAGGTTAGTTGTTTATAGCAATGTACAGGCCGTCTACATCAATCTGCAAAGCACCTCATATATTTTACCTGCAAACGGTGGTCCCATAAGATTTGCTGTTCCCTGAAGAAACATCATTATGCCAAACGCATCTGTCAGTTTGTCTATTCCAAGTATATCGACGATAATAACCGAGCAGAGGGCTTCTGCAGCAGCGGACAGCAACCCAAATATGCCAGCAAGGATAGTTGATGGAATAAAGGTTGTAAATACAGGAACTAATGACAAAGAAGCACCACAAAGAATCATTGAAACACAGTATAAATACGCTCTGTTCATCCATTCCTTGTCGCCGAGGTACCCGTACAGTATATTGCCTATGGTGTGTAGGATACCAATGATCGCCACCATTAACGAAGCATCTCTCTCATTAATACCCATTTCTTTGGCCCTATCCACCGTAAACACGTAAGGAACGTCATACCAGAAATACAAAATGAAATTGGAAAGCGTAAATACCAGAAAAACTGGGTTTCCTAAAACACTTAAATCGATGACAGATTTAGGACAGGTAAACTGTGACTCGCTTTGGTACTTCATTTTTATGTTTTTGCTGACCTCAGGACAACTTTTGGATGCGCGTATTATTTGTGGTAGGGATGCAATGCTTCCTCCTATTAAAGACGGGTGATCGGGAACGTTTACAAAGTTTATTGAAAGTTGACTTGTCCTGCAAAAGTCATAAGACGACTCCCTTTCATATGAACTGTTCGAGGCTGAATCTGAAGACAAGTCGCTACTTTTGGGAATTTCATTCTCAGTCGCCCTTAATGTCTCTAACTCTAGATCTATTGATGTGCTATTGGAGTTTCTCGTGAGTGGCTGTTCAGCAATGAAAGGTTCGCGACTATTTGGTGTTGTACATTGACCGGAGTCTACAAACTTAGATTTTACACGTAAAGGTCTGAAGAGTGCTCCACACACCACAATATTGCCAGCTACTCCACCCATTATGAGAACGGCTCCCCTCCACCCATACTCGGAGATCAAACGCTCCAGAATCGGTGCAAATAGCAATGTTCCTATACCAGCACCACATTCCGATAGTCCTGTCACAAGTGCACGTTTCTTTTCAAAGTATTCGGCCACCACGACAATCGAATTAAGATATGGAAGAGATATACCGAGACCCGCAATGGCGCCATATGTTATGCATAGAGATTCAATTGAATTAACGAAATAACTTAAAACAAAACCGGCACTTGTTATTACCCCTCCAAGTATTGTTGCCTTTCTATAACCAATTTTGTTAGTCACAAAACTTGCTATAGGACCACACAGGAGAGGCACTGCACAGAAAACTGATCCGATCCACGCAGTTTTACTTCTGCTTTCGTGGAAATACTCGATTAGATTTGTAAAGAGTACTCCAAACGAGTAGGAGCAACCGTCGGTAATCACATTGATAATGAAAGCGCCCAGTACAACGAGCCATCCCCATCCACCGTCCGGTGGCTCAATGATACTATCATCGTCCGATGTCTCTCCTGTTTTCTCATCATTATTTAGTATCCCATCCTCAAACCTCGACGTGTCCGAATCAGACTGAACCATTATAGGAAGATGAAGTCATCATTTGGCTTACTTGTATTCTGAAATATTAAAACATTCAAAAATTTCGATTGTACACTTTAAAACAAATTAACAAAATTGTATGATATTAAAAGAGAAAAATTGAAATACCAACTTTTGAATATTTGATTATATTTCCATATTTCCTTTTTTTCTCGTTTTGCATCCGTCATATAATGGAGATGATCGGTATGACAGGAGTTACCTTATCTTGGTTTTATATCTGTCTGACATTCATAGTATAATACATGTAACAAGGGTTATTATTTGTAAATGCTTCTACTAGTGCGGAACTGGGGACCTCTGATTTACTAGTCTGACACTTTACCAGATGAGGTAAAGAGAAATTCTCCCCGTCAATGTAGACAGGAAGGGGCTAGCAATTTACCAGGATGACATTTAACATCAGCCCCTACCTCCCAAGCCCCCAGTAAAGGATTCGTCCCGAGAGTTTCCAGGGGTTAAGTTTATGTTAGCTGGAGCGAGATAAAGCATTTCGTAAATATTTCCCGGGTCCAAATGTTCTACAAGGTTGTCAAACCAAAGGACAGCTACGATACATATAAGTCTGAGGCAGTCCCAGTGATCCCAGGGATACATTGTTATAGAACATGGCTAAACAGGTAAATGCCATTGCAGGCTCCTGTTGCTATCAGATCAGGAGCATTGGATTTATTCGCCAGTTTATCACTACTGATGCATGTAAAACTTCAGTGCATTGCCTAGTTAGCCTTACATTGTGGTGTATCTGTTACACTAACAAGCTGTCTGCAGACATCCAGACCATAGCAACACAGCTGTTAACCTGTCACACCAGTATACGTATCATTGCACCTGTTACATGTATCAGACAAACTGAAGCAAAAATGTGTAATGCACATATACAAGGCACTTAGTAGAGCTTTTCAAAATACATATGATCATTTACTCAGGTCGGTGATAGCATATTCAGTTTGGAAATCTTCTATCGTATTCTAAGGTAACTGGTGATCAAAAAGGAGGTAGACTTCTGCTACCAGTAAGTCTAAATCACTTCCAAAGTTAAAAAAAATTATACTGATGTTAAAACGTACCTGTTTATGTCTTCATTTTAGCAATTTAAGCGCAGACGTCTTGTGAATACCATGTCACATTTTATTCATACGACGTACAAGCTTATTATAGTATGTAGATTATACAGTATACCTGATATACCGGTATTTATTTTTGCTTTTGTAACTCTAGGTCTTGAATTGTTAAACGTCTGTAGTAGGGTAGTTTTTGTATCGCCTGCGAAAAGCTGGTGATACATAGGTATTGCTATGTCGGCGTCGGTGTCGTCCGCACAGAGGTTTTCGTGCGATAACTTGAGTTTCCTTGGGCCGATCAAACTTAAACCTCATGCAGTGTTTCCTCACCAAAAGTGCTTACTTGGGATTGCTTTTCAGGTCCGAAGGTCAAAGGTCAAGGTCACTGTTACTATAAATAGATAATCTGTTTGAAAAGTGTATCTATTTCTTCGTAATCTCCCAGCTTCCTGCGCAGGCGACAGATCCACTTCCGTGGAATTCTTGTGTATACATAGGGCACTCTAGAAATGTGGGGCATTTTTAGCATTGTGATGAATTTTACCGCTATCCTTTTATTACGTCTTTCGAATATTCGTTTTTTATGATAACGTTTCTGATTAATTCTTTATTGGTAAAAAAACCACAACATTTTGAAGGCTAGAATATGTCTATGAGGCGGAGCCTCGGACAGACAACCAGTGTGATCATAGAGGCTCCAAACAGACAAACATATAAATAAACATGTATGTTTATCCAAAGATATCTTGATTCTATTCAACCTGATTAAAATGTATTCGAATGTACTTTCCTTTCTACTAACCATAAGATAACGTGACCTAAATCCTCCAATAATATATAGTTGGCTATTCCTTTGCCCGTGCAAACACTTGTTACGTCATGCCTCGTTTTAAGAAAAGTCAGACACAGTTCACTTTGTTTACATTTGCAGTACTAGGAATCTTTTAGAATTTGGAAAGGATTTGCAAAGTTTGTTGGAAACCAATAGAACAGTACGCAAGTATTAGTTATATCATAGGTAGTTGCGTAACCCTGTTGAAATAACAAATCATCATCAGTAGCACAAGTCTATACAAATAAAGAAAGTTTCTAATTTTTTTCAATAAAGTACATATCATTTTTGTCAAAAGTAAATGAATTATTTTTTTCGATAGGATTCCAAACCGGAAGTTATTCACCGGAAGGACTCCGGAGTGATACTCTCTAGAGCTATGCTTTATAAATAGATACAATTTGACGTGTCGTTATATCACTTATACACGAATATTTCACATTATCCTAATATAGAATTATATACGTTACCAACTCTCACTGTGCAGTTATACCCTGAAGTTAACTATATTGGACAATACTACCCCAAAGGCATTTCTCACTAAGCAACACTGCATCGAATATAGCCCCTGAATACTCACCTTATATACCGTAATACGGAGCAGTAAGATAGTTTCCTCCCAGTGACTTGATAAGAAATGGCGACGACTTTATCTAAGTGTCCTCATGTTATCGTGGTGACCTGCAAAGTAAACATAACACACTTAACATAAAGCCTTGGACAACTGCTTTATCACATAACATCCGTGTTATATAGGTAAGAAAGTGCAATATCACGTATTAATCATATTACTGGTATTTCTGTCATAATCGATGGATGGTCAGTAGTGACAGTAGTGATAGGATTATTATACCTTGTACTAATACCTACCAACAGTACACGAGAACGTGAATGTAAAAGGACGGGGATACGCTCAACACATTTTCGTTTTGTGTTAAAATATCTTTCAAGGATGAAAACAACCATTAAATAGAACGATTTGTGTTAATTTGAAGTCAACGAAGATATCTTAACCGGAAAGAATACAGCGAGTCCGTACTTGCAGGGTATCCCATTGCAATAGGAAGCCTATTTAACATGACGTATTTTAGTTACCCATTGTTACAGCTGTGGTATGGCTCTCCTACCAAAGTTGACAGTAGAATCTTAATGCACAAGATTAGCCATGTAATAGTTGTCCTATGACTGTAGATTGGCCATCTGGTACATCCAAGACTTCATCTTGTGCTTAAGGCGAGAGAGACATACGCCAAGTTATGTGCTTAAGTTATGAGAAATAGGTCTAAACGTGGACAATTATTGATGCTACTGACGAGAAAGTTGTGAATTTGGGAGCGATGAACCTGATCTGCTATTTTCAATAAGAACCTGCATATTATTTAAAATGTAAGTTTCTTATAACTTTCACTAGATATTTCCACAAACAAACCAGCAGTTTTGAGGAAACATAAGCATGTCCGTTTCAGTATTCCTTTATGGTACTTGTTCTCTAATTAGCATCTACACTCCCTTCTGTTGTAATGGAGTAAAATTGCATTGCAATTCCACTGACATTATACGTAAGACAAAATATACAAGTGCATGATCCGCTGGCGATGTCTGATAAGGGTAGAGGAACATACATGTATAACAGGATCATTATTTCATGGCTAGTACCCATACCGTTACATGTCGCATGGGAAATCGAAAAAATAAATGAATACACAAAATCAGTGATCTGAAGGCAATGCAGAGAGACATCCAGTTGACAAATGAAATTTGATACACAATGAATTTTAAAAACAAGTGTTTTTTTTAACTTTGAAGAGGATTGATTATCGTTAGTTACACCCATGGCCTATCAATAGCAAAATCCATAATTTTACTTCACTTCACGATGACGCCAAGGAAATAAGGCTGAACACTTCTTTTCCTTTGGAATTGGAAAAAGGGGTGAGCTTAATAATAATCTTTCAGATTTCTTTATCGGAGAAGTAAAACCACCAAAGCTGGGAGTTTCCTGTCATCAAATTTTATCTTTTCTTTACCGACTACACGTCTTGTGCTGTTTCCGACATTTGGATGGTTTCAACATCTACCAACTACAGATATACAATGTAGGTGTCAATCCTAGGTGGTTCATTTCATTGTTTCAATATTTCACTGTTTATTTCATTGTTTCAATATTTCATTGTTTATTTCATTGTTTGTTAATTGTCATTGGACGTCAAATATTCTGCATCTATTAACACATTTTAAATGTGCTATAACCTACGTGCGTGTAAGGTTTATCGTTTCAGAAGAGTGCTCAGCTGCGAGATTGAATAATTACATTGCATGTTATTTCAGGTTCGATCTTTTTGGTCGTTGAACGATAATAACAATGGTATTTAATGCAAATATTTTATAGTTTGTTAATATGTCGTTGAATGACAGGTAAACGGTATTTCACGTAAAATATTAGCTATTTGTTCTTGAGAATATGAGAGTGCGAATTTCACGTAAGCAACTTGTGAAGTGTAGAGAAATGTGTGTTGGGGAGACAACTCATCCGAACTTGTAACTATCTGGTTTAAGTGTGCGTAATTTGCATATATATATACATAACATCGAACAACATACACATGTATGCCTTATTAATGGTTCTGTGAATTACTTAATACTATTTCTACTACTAATTATAACATGAAGACATTTAGAACGGAACATACAACTAGTTCCTGTTGTCCGTCATTCTCCCAATCAAATTTGAGCAGTATACTGACACAGCCATTTAAGGTTTTATTTCAATTGCATGCTAATCTTTCAAAATGTATACCATACAAACAAGGTTTATTATCTAAAAATAGAATGTGGCTTAGCCTTGATAAAAAGTTTCGTTGAAGAATGAAAATATGTTTATGTATGTGATGTCTTTGTACCGGGTGTCTAGTCTTCTTAATAAGAAGAGGACTTTCCTGAGCGTTATAATGAAAAACAAACCTCACCATCAATAGTAAAATTGTTCTTCCCGGTGATATCATCTTTGCAACTATAAAAGGTACTAATTTCCATCTCAAAAATAGTTCAAAACATTACTCATGATACAGGAAATAGAAAATCACTGGATAAAACTGTGAACGTGTAGAGTTGTCAATTATCAGAGGTAGGTGTCTTCACGAGGTTTGGTTATCTAAACTGAGAATTTATAGATGATCGTTTAGACATTTAACTGGTGTAAAACGCCAGAGTTGTAGTGTTTTTGAATATGTTGAACTATACCAGAACCTGTGTTTGTCAATGGCCTTTTTGTACCCACACATTTATCTGACTTAACATTATTATACGATCAGTTACTCTATTAGCATGTAAAATTATTAACATTACTTCGAATATGAACACTTAAAACATGTGAGAATATGTATCCTACCAGTTAATAATGAATGCGGTCGCACAAAGGTTTTGATATTTGCTGATTAAGCCGCCCGATGTTAAATACTACACCAAGTAACGATGACGGTTCCGTCACCAAAACGCCAGAAAGAAATCATCTTGAACTGATAAAGAGTTGACTTTTGTTAAAGAACCGAAAACTTATAGAATTAAAAAAAAACAACGATTCAATTCCAAAGCAATTGATAAAGTGAAAAAGAAATGAAATAGAAAACGAACAAGACTATATATCTGGAAAAAACCTCGATATTCCTTATCATGATAGTATCAAAACTATAAATATTTACCAATAGAGACAGTTATGATGCTCGAGCTAACATAGAGTTACACAATTTCAGAATTCCGTTAATTAAACAATATTTAATGATACACGATGATCTGAGATAAAACCATTTAGATATATTACTAGGGAGGATATTATCTAAATAGAACGTTAGAAAAAATAAAAGCAGTAATAAATCTTACAGAACGTTAAATATGTAGGTCCAGATTTTATCAGCAATAAAACTAATAAGTAAATCTTTAATGTAATGCAATGCAATCGCTGTCAGCATAATACACCTGTATTAACTGCTATTCTAGAAACACAAATTATTTTTTCATTCCACATTTTAAACCAGAGAAACATTATGTACACATCAACTATAGAAGGAAGCTCCAGATAAAACTGACAGGCAAAAGCAACCATTTCTATTTGGAATAAAAGGCTTAATGTCTTCATGGAAAAATTGGTCAAGTCAAGTTATTTTGGACTAACACAATTTCATAATTTTATAACAATTTGTTTTCATGTATTTCCGAAAGAGACTAACTAAAACTTATACTATTTCATATTATATCAACAAAACATTAAAACGGAATGTTGGGAATCTTTTCTTCGCTGATGATTTGTTGTTTTTGTCGGAATCACCATTTTTCAAAGCAAAAATAAGGAGTGTATCCAGTGGATTGATTTATAGTTATAGCATCAAGATAAGCATCTAGTTGATTGTTTTTATAACTTTAACATCAAGGACATGATAAGGATGCTTTTCAGTCGATTGTTTTATAACTCTATCTTCAATACCAGTATATAGCNCACAACTACAAACACATTATACTTTACCTATACTGTGACACCTCACCACTACATATACAATATACTTTACCTTTACTGTGACACTTCACAACTACAAACACATTATACTCTACCTATACTGTGACACCTACCCACTACATATACATTATACTTAACCTAAACTGTGACACCTACCCACTACGGATACATTATACTTTACCTATACTGTGACACTTCACCACTACATATACATTATACTTTACCTATACTGTGACACCTCACCACTACAGACACATTATACTTTACCTATACTGTCACACCTCATCACTACAGATACATTATACTTTACCTTTACTGTGACACTTCACCACTACATACACATTATACTTTACCTATACTGTGACAGTTCACTACTACATATACATTGTACTTTACCNACTCTATCTTCAATACCAGTATATAGCGGATTGTTTTATTATTATAGCATCAATGACAGTATATAGTGGATTGTTTTATAACTCTAGCTTCAAGAACAGTATATCGAGGATTGTTTTATTATTATAGCATCAATGTCAGTATATAGTGGATTTTTTTAATTATTATAGCACCAATGACAGTATATAGTGGATTGTTTTATAACTCTAGCTTCAAGAACAGTATATAGTGGATTGTTTTATTATGTATAGCATCAAGGACAGTATATAGTGGATTGTTTTATTATTGTAGCATCAATGACAGTATATAGTGGATTGTTTTATTATTATAGCATCAATGACAGTATAAAGTGGATTGTTTTATTAGCTCACCTGGTCCAAAGGACCAAGGTGAGCTTATGTCATACCGTGGCGTCCGTCGTCCGTCCGTCCGTCGTCCGTCGTCCGTCCGTCAACAATTTCTTTAAACGACTTCTTCTTCTTAACCACTGATTGGAATTTAACTAAATTTGACCGGAAGCATCCCTAGGTGGTGGGGATGCAAAATTGTACAAATGGTGGGGCTGACCCCCCAGGGGGCTGAGGGGCGGGGCAAAAAGGGGGCAATTTGGCTAAACTGCTTTAAGCGACTTCTTCTCTGGAACTAAGTGATGGATATCAACCATATTAGACTGGAAGCATCCCTAGGTTGTGGAGATTCAAAATTGTACAAATGGTTGGGCTGACCCCCCAGGGGGCTGAGGGGCGGGGCCAAA